ACTGAAACAGGAAGAAACTGACAACCTGAATAGACCAATATCTAGTAATGAGATTGAAGCAGTTGATCAAAAACCTCCCAAAAAACAAGAGCCCAGGACCTGATGGATTCCCTGAGGAATCCTACCAAGCATTCAAAGAAGAAATAATACCTATTCTCCTGAACCTGTTTCAAAAAAATAGAAACAAAAGGAAAACTTCCAGACTCTTCCTATGAAGCAGCATTACCCTGATCCCCAAACCAGGCAAACAGCCCATTAAAAAGGAGAATTTCAGACCAGTATCCCTGATGAATATGGACACCAAGATTCTCAACAAGATCCTAGCTAAGAGGATCCAACAACTGTACATTAAAAAGACTACCATTACATTAAAAAGATGACCAGGTGGGATTTATCCCTGGGATGCAAGGGTGGTTCCACATTCACAAGTCAATCAATGTAATAGAACAAATCAATAAGAGAATAGAGAAGAATCACATAGTCCTCTCAACTGATGCAGAAAAAGCATTTGACAAAATACAGCATCTGCTCCTGATTAAAACTCTTCAAAGCATAGGGATAGAGGGAACATTTCTCAACTTCCTAAAATCTATCTATGAAAAACCCAAAGTGATTATTATTCCCAATGGGGAAAAGCTGGCAGCCTTCCCTTTGAGATCAGGAACACGACAAGGATGCCTACTCCTGCCACTGCTGCTCAACATAGTACTAGAAGTCCCAGCAACAGCAATCAAACAACAAAAAGAAATAAAAGGTATTCAAATAGGCAAAGAAGAAGTCAAACTCTCTTCAAAGATGACATGATACTTTATATGGAAGCCCAAAAGACTCCACCCCCAAACTACTAGAACTCATACAGCAATTCAGTAGTGTGGCAGGATACAAAATCAATGTACAGAAATCGATTGCTTTCTTATACACTAAAAATGAAACTATAGAATGGAAATTAGAGAATCAATTCCATTTACGATAGCACCAAGAACCATAGATACCTTGGAATAAACCTAACCAAAGAGGTAAATGATCTGTACTCGAGGAACTACAGAACACTCATGAAAGAAATTGAAGAAGACACAAAAAGATGGAAAAGCATTCCATGCTCATGGATCGGAAGAATAAACATTGTTAAAATGTCTATACTGCCCAGAGCAATCTATACTTTCAATGCCATCCCAAACAAAATTCCACCAGCATTTTTCAAAGTACTGGAACAAACAATCCTGAAATTTGTATGGAACCAGAAAAGACCCCAAATTGCTAAGGAAATGTTGAAAAAGAAAAACAAAACTGGGGGCATAATGTTACCTGATTTCAGGCTTTACTACAAAGCTGTGATCACCAAGACAGCATGGTACTGGCACAAAACAGACACACAGAGCAGTGAAACAGAGTAAAGAGTCCAGATATGGGCCTGCAACTCTATGCTAAAATAATCTTTGATAAAGCAGGAAAAAATATCTAGTTGAAAAAAAGACATTCTCTTCAATAAATGGTGCTGGGAAAATTGGACAGCCATGTATAGAAGAATGAAACTCGACCATTCTCTTACACCATATACAAAGATAAGCTCGAAATGGATAAAAGACCTCAATGTGAGACAGGAATCTATTAAAATCCTAGAGAACACAGGCAGTAATCTCTTCGACATCGGTCACAGCAACTTCTTTCAAGACATGTCTCCAAAGGCAAAGGAAACAAAAGTGAAAATGAACTTTTGGGACTTCATCAAGATCAAAAGCTTCTGCACAGCAAAGGAAACAGTCAACAAAACAAAGAGGCAACCCACAGAATGGGAGAAGATATTTGCAAATGACACTGCAGTCAAAGGGCTGATATCTAAGATCTATAAAGAACTCCTCAAATTCAACACTCAAAAAACAGATAATCACATCAGAGCTACCCTATGATCCTGCAATTGCACTACTGGGTATTTACTCCAAAGATACAGATGCAGTGAAAAGGGCCATCTGTACCCCAAGGTTTATAGCAGCAATGGCCACAGTTGTCAAACTGTGGAAAGAGCCAAGATGCCCTTCAACAGACAAATGGATAAAGAAGATATGGTTCATATACACAATAGAATATTATGCCTCCATCAGAAAGAATGAACACCCAACTTTTGTATCAACGTGGATGGGTCTAGAGAAGATTATGCTGGGTGAAGTCAGTCAAGCAGAGAGAGTCAATTATCATATGGTTTCCCTTACTTGTGGAGAGCAAGGAATAACATGGAGGACATTAGAAGAAGGAAAGGAAAAGTGAATTGGGGGAAATTGGAGAAGGAGACGAACCATGTGAGACTGTGGACTCTGAGAGACAAACTGAGGGTTTTGCAAGGGAAGGGGGTGGGGGGATGGGTGAGCCTGGTGGGAGGTATTGAGGGGGCATATATTGCATGGAGCACTGGGTGTGATACATAAACAATGAATCTTGGAACACTGAAAAAATAAACTAAAATTAAATAAATAAGTAAACAAAAATAGGTATTTGTAGGTATAAAAAATAAATCCATGAAAGGTATAAATAATACACTTCTCTAACACAATCTGCTTTTAAATATGCCTAAATGAAAAGATAATCTTCTGTATTGGCTTTCAACACCACAAATCAGATAAGGAAGTATATATAAGACATTTGTTTTTCTCCTAGGCATAATGCATATAATTATGGCAGATTCAAAACAACTTGGGAGAATAACTTATAGTCAATAAGAATACAAATTTTATTACACGATCATCAGTTGGACTAGAAAAGAAACACAAATGCTTATGCTATCAAATACTTTTTCAAAGTGTAAAATCATAAATATAAAAATACAGATTACATTTACATTCAGAAATGTAAATTTATGTAAATAAATCAGAACTAAATTAAATTAATAACTAGCTCTTCCATTTCTTCAGTGATAAATATTATTACTGGTTTGATACTTGTAGTTTCTTCATTTAAAAGACAATTCCTACTTCTGGGCCAGATTATTCATAAGTGAGGAAACAGTATTACAAAACCCTTTACATCCCCACTGCACATCATATCTTTCCAAGTTTCTAATTAAATTACTACTAAGACCAAAGTAGCTTTATAGTTAGAAATATAAACCTACTTAACTAAATTCTCACCTGTTTTTTCACTCCACAAATCTCTGGAGTAAAGGATAAAAAGAACAGCAATACATACCATAATAAAAATAAATTAGCTCAGCACCACTGTTAAAAAGTGTCCTTTTTTCATCATATTAAGGTCTCCTCACTAAGGACCAAAAATACAGTATCTACAAAAAAACTTGCTAACCTTTAATAAAGCTCTATTTAATTGTACTTAGATAAGCATTTTTTAAAAAATAAAGTAGGAAATAGGCAAAGCTGCTGGAAGCATTTACTACTTTCTAACATGACTGCCTAACAATTTAGGCAACAAATGATACTGATAATCTAAAAATAATTCACTTTTGGCCGAAAAGGCACAGCTGATTTTCTTGGACTCTTGCAACAAAAGAAAAAACTATTTTTCTAATTACGATTGATCCACCAAAATAACCTCAGAGTCACAACACAAAGAGTACTAGAGATCAAGGTTAAAAGTACCCAGAGGTAGAAAGTTGGAAGACTTGTTTTATTTCCACAAAAAGAATTTCAGATCTATTCTATATTTTCTTTGCCAAATCTTTTGATCAAGATGTTATGTTGCTTTGATTCAAAAGATATGCATGCTCCAGTTGGAGATCAAATCAACTCAGTCTGGAAACTAAGTTAGTTTTTCCTAAGCCACTAGTAATTTACTATAGTGGGAGAGAATGTAAATGCATGATAGATCGTGATTTCTAACTCTAGATACTAAACTTGCACAGAAGTACTGTTCTTCACAATGCATGACAGAGAGAGACCTGGCTTACATCCCAGCTCTACCACTTACTAGGGATATAATCTTCAACAAGGTTATTTAACAGCTCTATGCTTTGGCTTCCTCATTTGTAAAATGGAGATAATAGTGTTAAAGATTAGAGGTGCCTAGGTGGCTCGGTGGGTTAAGTGTCTGACTCTTGATTTTGGCTGGGGTCATGACCTCAGGTTTGTGAGGTGGAGCCCACATTGGACTCTGCACTGGGCACAAAGCCTGCTTAAGATTCTCTCTCTCTCTCTCCCTCTGCTCCTCCCCCACCCTTCTTTCTCCCCTTTCTCTCAAAAAAAAAAAAAATAGTATTGAAGATTAAATACATATATTAAAAAGCACTGAACACAAATGTCTGATACGTAAGTATGATCTGAAATGTTGTGAGTAGATAATTAAAACAAATAACTGAGAGTTGAGAATACCATGAATATTACTTTTTAGTTTCTAAATAAAAATTTAACATTAGACTTTAAACTAATTCAAAGCTAAGAAAGGAACTCGGGTCCTTCATACTAGATTTATTTTTTAAACCTAGATTCCTCGAGGACTTATAAAGAATGAAGAGCTAAAATCAGATGATCCTGTTTTAAGTCTCACCTTTAACAATTATCAGATTAGCCTGGGCAGATCCCTCATTTCTATGTTTGTTCACATTTTAATATAGGAAATAGGTTAACATACCATCTGTCCACTCCAATAAGAATGAATAATGGTAGAGTCAAATAAGATGTGGCAATATTTAACATTCTTTGTATACAGAAGGGGCTAACGTTAACAAGGTACAACAGATTAACTAAAATTCAAGTTTTTCCCATCAAAACTACTGGCAAACATCACCCATCACAAGAACATGCAGTTAATAAGGTATTCAGAAATTACAGGATTCTTTTTCATTAAGCTTACTCATTGCATGAATGATGAACAAATATAACCATTAGTAATATAAGGCAAAGTTACATATTTCTATTAATTTGTCAAAAATATTAAGAAAAACAGAGTAAAAAATTGTTTTATTAGATACTCAATAATGGCACAGTCATTTTAACTGTCCTGAATTTTTGCAAATGTTAGAACAGATTTATTCATTAAAATGATAAAACTCAACTTACTTGTATCTGACAGTTTGTACAGTTTCTGCTGAAACATTGTTAACAATACATTTGGCTGCACATTCCAATCCCTGCCAGACAGTTGAAAATCCTGCAAATATATTTAGAAGTAAGTAAAACTACAGCAAAACAAATGGACCTTCCTAGTTAAATTTATGGTTCTTTGTTACCTTGAACACTACTTGCAGCTACAACCATAGCACCATCCAAGGTAGACTTCCCATTTCTGTCTTTTTTAAGAGATTCTGGAACAAGTTTGCTTCCATGCTTCTTGACGTGTGGAGCTAGTTCCTTCCCAACACAGTTTGCTACAGTGCAAACTCCATCAACTAATGAAACCATAAAAAAGGGGAAACACTTAGAAAAAATGTATTCTTTCCTTGATTTTACCACTTTTTAGCAAAATTCTTACATGGGCATCCAAAGTTGTTTTATTGCATAATTTAGCATTTCTATATAAGGATGAGAACCAAGGCTGGCCAGTTTTTAAACAAAGGTTATTATTTGGTTTAAAGATACGTTTGCAGAACCTAGTGATAAAACTTTGCCTCTTAAACATAATGTTCTTTTTGGCAATTTGCTTAAAAAAAAAACCAAGATTGCTGCAATACAAGACTTGTAGGTCCATCTTTCATGTTTTCCAGCTATGTGTACTTCTGTTTTCTCCACATTGACAAATATTTCACTGAAATAGTAATAAAGTATTTAAGTCTATATAAAAGTAAACAAATCAAAATCTGATTGGAAGAACACTGAATACCAAAAAGATAATGTTACTAAATCTAATGATAATTCATTAAGGAGTTATCTGGCCATCTTAAAATACCACACTTTAGATCTATGATTCGCAAGGAAGATGAAGAGACATATTACTTGGGAAGGCTGACATCAGAATCACCGAATCAGCTTAATTCAAACAATACATCCCTCCCACCCCACTCCAACTAAGACATAGTGAGCTGTCTTTAAAAGAACGTGTCATATTCAAGGATAGCAAATACATTCAGAGCCATTCCTTTTCAAAGGCATGGACACTCCTCTTTCTGACACATCAAAATAATCCTTTAACCAATGTTTCTCAAACTAATATGCAAATAACAATCACCTAGAGATCTTGTTTCTGAATCAGTAATGTGTACCAAGTATTTGAAATATTTCTAGGGCTCTCAGACAGGTTGATGTTGTTGCTATAGATCCCACTATGAGTAGCAAGACGATACTGCTTTGTCCTAATCCTTTACTCTTAAGGTTAAACCATCTAAATGAACATTTAGATTAACCTGAATTAAGAGATCATTTTTAATTTAACTGAAAGAAGTAAAGTCCTCCAAAGTTACTTTACCCAGGAACTGACTGACTTTTGCTGCTCCTCCTGTAGCCTGCTTTGCTATATAAAGTCCCTTGGTCACAGCAGGACTAACTTCCACTGGTTTTTCTTCTGGTTGAATCCGTTCACGGAGTTTAGAAGCACCTTTCTGGATTGCTTTGCCGGTAAATTCAGCACCTTTGACCAAACCCCAGCTCACCCAGGAAGCACCTTTTTATACGAAAATTAAAAAGTCCACAATATTAGAGCTGATTATACCTATAAACCCTTTAATAAATCAAAGGAAAAAACCCAAGGAATTCAATGTTCAGATCCTAAACACACCATAAACTTTTAAGCCAACTTTACAATTGTAATTTTCTGCCTGGAATACACTTTTTCTAAGTAAATTTATCTTTCAGTACTTAGGTCACAGATCACTCAGTAACATAGTTCTGTATTACTCTGCTGCTACTACAACTTGTAGGTATCTCTCTATACGTTATTTATCACACTATTATTACTATTGTTAGGCACTAATTTTGGGTTTTGGTGCCAATATACAGTATTTGGCTTGAGGACCCAGGCTTCCCTGTTCTTGCCTTAGTCCAGGTACCACTTTTCCTCTATGAAGTACTGAGGGGTTTAGACACAAATGATGCAAATTAGAAACCAATAAACCTGCTAGATCTCGAACATCAAGGCAGAACTCTTGCTTGCTTGCTTTAGACAAAAGGCACAAGGCAGGGGTCCTGTTCCTCAATCCCAAACCCAAATCCCATGATCTCCACACCTTTTAATTTATAACATAAACCTGAATGACAAAGAGAGAAGAATACTCAATACATAAGAAGAAAACAGGAAGCCTAGATGGTTTAGCCATTTCTCATGAGAGTAGTTCCCAGCCCTTTGGTTTTGCTCAATGTTTCTTAGAGCATACACGAAAAATGAGACTGTCAAGACAGAAAGCAGGATAGCACAGACTTCTCTAGTGAAAAGTCCCTGTGTACACTTGAGGAAAGAAGAAGTGGGAAGAGATGGAAAAAGCAAGGAAAAATCCCCAGGAGAATAGTTTCCCCTAAGAGGAAGAAGAAGGTGTTACCTTGCCTTGGAGAGCTTACAATTTTAAATATTTCCTTTTTGGCTATACCCTGAAAAAAGCAGCTTTTAAAGCTAGACATATAAAATACCTAAGTATATTCTCCAAAGGTCTGTGGCATGGTTTTTATGTAATTACTCTGGCCTGTGAGTGAGTAAGCATGCAGTGACATGTGAAAATCCTGTTTATTTAAAAATATGAACAATGAAAAATAAAAATAAATAAAAAACAATGAAATAAAGTTGCCAAGTGGTAACTGATTAGAAAAACTGTTGTGTTTCTCTTCCTGTTTTAGTCAACATGTCCACCTCTAGCTCAAACACTACCCTGCTGTCCTCCCCTGCAGGAGGACCAGGTCTCAAACCCAGACAAGTATCTTCCAGCAAGGAATTCCCATAACAATGAAGGGACTGAAGACCTCTATTAAAAATATACATAAGGTGTTTGCAGTTAACTTACAGGTTGAAAAGATTTAAGAAGTAAAAAACTGGCTGAACTTGAAGAAGGAAGACTGAGAAATCATAAATGACAATGAAGCAAAGGAATGCTTAAGTAGACTATACTCCTACAATAAAATAAACAAGAGTCCATTGATGACTAAGAATAAATGGAAATTAGATAAGTGAAAAGTCGTAAGATTGAGAAAGAGAAATACTAGATGCAAATTATAAAGAAGTTATCACCATGGAAGAGTGTATAATAGGGAATACTTTAAAACCTAAAATATTACAATAGAAGATCAGGAAATGTAATGTTTTACTGGTAGCTATTAAGATCTTTTAAATGGCATGTGTAGATCCAGATACAGATTTATTCTATCCATATTCATCTTATATGCAACCATTTAATGGCATGCCATCCAGGCAATGGATGTATACTGAATAAATGAGAAATTGCCAGACGACTTAAAATGATCTCACTCAAATCTAACCCAATGCGGCTGGTGCTCTTATCAGTCTATTGTTGATGATCCCTCTACCTCTTCCCAAATGAGCTTATTAAAATGTCCATCTAAGGGGCGCCTGGGTGGCTCAGTGGGTTAAAGCCTCTGCCTTCGGCTCAGGTCATGAGCTCAGGGTCCTGGAATCGAGCCCCGCATCGGGCTCTCTGCTCAGCAGGGAGCCTGCTTCCTCCTCTCTCTCTGCCTGCCTCTCTGCCTACTTGTAATCTCTGTCTGTCAAATAAATTAATTAATTAAAAAAAATGTCCATCTAAAATGTTTGGCAGTTGCCTTCTTAAAAGTGTAATTCTAGCCTTTCAAGCCAATATGCTACACAGGTAAATTTTAAGCAGTAACTTCATGTTTTTTCACTTTTTATATTCACAAAACACTGTACTGTAACTTTTACTGATCTTTACTGATCTCCAGACACTAGACAGGAACAAACCATGGGATAAAGTGAATAAGCTCTTTAGATCCCTGATTACTTATCTTTGTATAGAGCCTGCATGAGTCAGGTAGAAACTGTCTCTGGACAGATCAGATCACTTTCCCTGGAGTAAATCTTGAATATTTTCTGCCACTTTTTTTTATTACCTGTACCTTAAGTATTTGATGAGCTAGTTGGTTTTCATTCTACCTATTAAAAAGCACATAAAGAGGTATGTACTCTGAGTGGCAGTTAAATAATTTTAACATAACCAACTATTAGGGCTATTGCTAGAACTGAGGAGATAAAAAGGAAAGAGAAGAGTTACAAAAGCCTACTAAAGTCTCAAGTAGTAAAGCAGGCCCCTAAGTGTTATCAGAGTGTGATTTTTGCTCATTTTCAAATGATGCACTGCTCAGAGTTTTTCTGAAATCTCTAAAGAGATCTGTCCCCAGAATTAGCTGATTCTAAGGGTACTCTGCTCTTTGAATAGAACCAGTACATGCAATCTGTGTGGTACTTAGGAGGCCTAAGACTTAGTGGCATAGAGGGGTGCCTGGGTGGCTCAGTCGTTAAGTGTCTGCTTTTGGCTCAAGTCATGATCCCAGAGTCCTGGGATCGAGCCCTGCACTGGGCTCCCTGCTCAACAAGAAGACTGCTTCTCCTCTCCCACTGTCCCGGCTTGTGTTCCTTTTCTTACTGTCTGTCTCTCTGTCAAATAAATAAATAAAATCTTAAAAAAAAAAAAAAAAGAGTTAGTGGCATACAGTACTTTCCAAAGGTAGCCAAATAGTATCACTGTTCATGTTCTTTCTTTTTTTTTTTTTTTTTAAAGATCTTTTTTTAATTTATTTGACAGACAGATCACAAGTAGGCAGAGAGGCAGGCAGAGAGAGAGAGAGGAGGAGGAGGCAGGCTCCCCACCGAGCAGAGAGCCCGATGTGAGGCTCGATCCCAGGACCCTGGGATCATGACCCGAGCCGAAGGCAGAGGCTTTAACCACTGAGCCACCCAGGAGCCCCTGTTCATGTTCTTTCAACATGACCTTGACATTCCTCCCATTGAGATGTGGGGTAGGTCTATGTCACATCCCCTTAAATCTGTTATCTTCTTATAGTGAGAGATACTGGAAACTTCCAAGAATTTGTTAGAAAGGGTATGTGGCTTCTGCCTGTTTGCTATATCATTCACGCTTGGAACCCTGGGCTACCATGTAGAAGCCTGACTAGCTTAAGGCTGCTAAGCTGTCAAACACATGGAGACCATGTCTAGGTACTCTATTTGGCAGTCCTAGATTTTGAGCTCTTCTAACCCAGACGCCAGATTTGTGAATGAAGGAGACTTCAGATGATTCCAGCCCCCAGGTGCTGAGTCACTAGTCAGTCTTTGGGTCTTCCTAGCTGAGGTCCTGCCATCATGAAGCAGATGTAAGCCATCCCTGTTGTGAACTTTTGGAATACCTGGCCCACAGTACCACAAACAAATGTTTGTTGTTTCATGCCATTAAGTTTGGGATGGTTTGTCACACAGCAATAATAAATAGAACTATCTTGAGCAGTATGAATTAAAAAACCTTAAGAAAATAACCTTTGAAATTAGTTATCTATGTATACATGAATATAGGCAAATTTTCTGAATGCTGACTTAATAGCCTAGCAATCTGTAAAGTTATGGGACAGGATAGTAAGAGTGAAGATTTTTTTTTAGAACATCTTTGAAAATCTTTATCAAGGCTCAATTTTAACTGTTAAAATTGTAACTGAAAAATCTGGCTTTATCTTAGCTCTAGCAACTCTCTGACATGGGCAAAATATTATGTTAGTTCCTAGTTAATTAATTTTCACTTATTTTAGTTTGTTGGTTTTTCATGTTGAAGGTTTCCTCTGCTTTAGACATCTTTATTATTTTAATGGGTTTTTAGTGCAGTGATGGAAATCTATATTGACAGTCGTTTAAATGACTGGTCAAGATCTCTTTACAGGGTCACAAATTTGGCTTACTAAAGAGTGACTGGCAATGTTTTTAAAAACAAAATAGAAGGTCTAAAAATCTGAGAGCTAAAACAGTTGAAAAGCCAAAATGTTAACAAATGAACGTGGAAAGACATATGTCAGTAATGATCATTCTGGCTTTTTTTTTTTTAAGATTTTATTTATTTATTTGACAGACAGAGATCATAAGTAGGCAGAGGGGCAGTCAGAGAGAGAGGAAGGGAAGCAGGCTCCTGCTGAGAGGACAGTCAGATGTGGGGCTCGATCCCAGGACCCTGGGATCATGACCTGAGCCGAAGGCAGAGGCTTCAACCCGCTGAGCCACCCAGGTGCCCCGATCATTCTGGTTTTAAAATAATTGATCTGATACCCTTTCTAACCAGAATTAAATAGTACAGCCTACATCTCAAACAACTTAGCTATAATCCTCAGGTCTCTTCATACCTCCATTGCAGTGTAGTTAGGGAATGCTACTTTGCTTCCAAAGACGGGATGAGTACCTCACCATTGTTTTTAGAAGAAGAGGAATTTCGAAGAAGAATGGAAAATAACTAATTTTATGTTCAGAAGAGCTATCCTGAGAGTTTGGGGATTCCCAAAGATTTTGACTACCAATTTTCCCTAAAGTTAAACAGAAAATAGTCAAGAATTTCTACCTATGTGATAATATGTAATGTTCTAAAAGACTAGTTCCTTCTGTTTTAAAGTATTTATAAAATGTTCATTTAGAACCAAAATACAAAATACTGCCTTTCTAAGTATTCTCTTATGGATTCCAAAGGTTTCACACTATAGGGGAAAAAAATTAACATTACTATAATACCTGACAAAATATTTTGAGCCACTTTCTCACTCCATTCAGGTAATTCCTTTGCTTTTTCTTCTGAAACTGGCTCATAGGGTACAATGTGACTCAGATTAACTTCTTCACTTGAAGTGTCTTTAGCCTAGTAAAAATGTTTCAAATGTAAAACAATAAAGAAAAATTATAATGGGAAAATATAAGCATTATGTAATAAAATATTAAGCCAACAAATATTAGATATAATTAATAAAAATACCTCCAGCCAACACAGTTACCAGTATATTTTATAACAGAAAGCAAAATACCACAACTGCCATAAAGCTTAAAAATTTCCTGGTCTTATATAAGGTCTCCCTGGAAAGTAAGGTTTAAATACCAACATACTTCCAATATAGCATTTATCAAATCATATTTAAACTGATGAGACTATGAGTTCCTTCATAAACTTATCAACCCCTTGATGGTAGTATGTACACGATACTTAGTAACATTTAAAAGATTTGTTATATGACTCATCAGTAAGGATGGATGTATCCAAATAAACTGGTTTTGATAGAAATCAAGTAAAAGCAAGTAAAAATACATAAACACTGCTATTCCATCTAAATGGAAATAGGGACACAGATATACCTGCATTTTGCTAATTTAACAGTTGTTATGAGAACTAGGGCCAACACTTAAGCTAAATTTATTCATTCTAAGAAATTAACAGCAGGCTAACTCGGACCTCGTAATACTATAAAATTTCTTGAAAATCAAACTTCTCAATGGAAATATGAAGAGAACTTCACTTAAAATATAAAACATTAAAAATGAAACGAAAACTTCTATGGGGGGAGGGGAAGCCATTCCTAATTAAAACCCAAAGACAAAATGAACATAATATTAGGAACTTCTATCTTAAATAATGAGCCAAAGTCCTAATACATAGAGAGCCCCTGGAAATCAGGAAGAAAGACTAGCAACCCAGTAATAAAAAATGGACAAATGACAAGAACAGACATCCCACAGGACACAAAATTCAAAGAACCCCTAAGCAGATACACAACAGCACTCACAATAAAATCAATGCAAATTAAGATATTCCAATACACAATTTCTTATCTATCAGACTGCCAAAATACAGAGGCTGATCACCCACTCTGTGGACTAAGCTATGAAGAAACAGGTTTCCTATAATGCCGGTGGAAGTGCTAAAGAGTATAGTCCTTAGGGAGGGCAACTTAGCAAAATCTATCAAAATTACAAATGTATTTATTTACTGACTCAGTGACCCCACTTCTAAGAATGTATCTGATGAATTACCTGCAAATGTATGAATCAAGGGATCTACAAAGCTACTCACTGAAGCGGTTTCTATTAGCAAATGCCTACAATCATCCAAAGACTCAATAAATAGATTGGTTAGAGAAAACTATCATAAATCCATACAATGAAATATGAGGTAGCTATAAAAAAGACTGAGAAGGTTCTCCATTTATAACACTGAAAGAGCCTCAGAATTTATTCAAATTAAAAAAAATAAAATACAAGATATTCTATGATGTTACTTTTGGCATAAGAAAGGGAGAGAAATCTGTTTTTATTTGCTTTTACCTTCCTCAAGAAACCTAGGGAAGAAACACAAGATCTTGATAAAAAGTGATTACCTACTATGGCAGGGACAATGGTATGGACAAAGGTGGGAGTAGAGTTTTTCAATGTATATACCTGTTTATATAATTTGATTTTTTAAGTTAACAAATTAAATTTCTTAAAAATGGAAGTTTTAAATGATGTGAAAAATTTCCAAACATACTAAGTAAAAAGAAAGGAGCAAAACAGTATGTCTTCCATGCTTCCATTCGTATTCTTATGTGAATGTGTGCATATACACGTATATTCACATACAAAATAAATGTGTATGTATATATGTTTGAATGTATCTGCAAGGATAAGAAGCTAGCAATAATATATCTAGAGCAAGGAGGTAGGTGGCTAAGGAATAGATAGGAATGGGAGGTAGAATTACTTTTCACTAAGTATCATTTGTATTTGCTTTTTATGCAAATTAATTTTTTTTTTAAATTTTTAATAAAATATTTCTTGGCACCATCTTGGACTCCCAGTGTCCTCCACAAAGCTAATCTAAGATGTTCAACATAATCCACAAATAAATGTAGAATATTCAAGGGGTACTTGGGTGGCTCAGTTAGTTAAGTGTCTGCCTTCAGCTCAGGTTATGATCCCAGGGTTCTGGGGTCTAGCCCCATGTTACGCTCCCTGCTGGGCAGGAGTCCGCTTCTCCTTCTCCCTCTGCCCCCATCTTGCTTGTGCTCTCTCCCTCTCTCAAATAAATACAATTTTTTAAAAAAATTTAAAAGTGCAGACTATTCAAGTGGTATGATAATTCTAAGATAATTATTGAGCACTTACAATATGGAATAAAACAATGAACAATACAAAACTGTTTGTAATTCAATACTCACGCAATGTTATTTTCTTTCTTCATGCATTTGCTTATGTTACTACTTATGCCTAGAATCTCCTTCAAATTGCTATGTGTATGACCAAATTTTGCTTCATCTTTCAGGAGTCATCTTAGTCACAATGTCTTCTCAGAAGCCTTCCTTACTGCTTCCCACACCACTATAGGCTCATACTTATTGATGAAGCTAGGTTGTACATTAGATGGTGCAATCTAGCCTACTATATAACCTATGTACCTTCATCTAATGATCACACTGGCTAGAAATGCTCTTTACTAATCTGTCCTCCCCAATAGACAAGAAATTTCTTGAGATAAGAAATTTAACTTTTCCAGAATGCTCAGCATTCTAGCACTAAAAAAAACCTTACTGAACTTACTGCCACTTGGAACATATCCTATATAAGAAATGAAAAACTACTAAACATATTTTTTAAAGACTTATTTACTTATAAGAAAGTAAATGCTCAAGTGGGGGGTGGAAGGGCTGATGGAGAGGGAGAAAGAGTCTCAAGCACACTGTGCTGAGCATAAAACTGGACGTGGAGCTCAATCCCAGGACCCCAAGATCTAGACCTGAGTCAAAACCAAAAGTCAAATGTTCAAGTGACTGTGCCAATGTGTTCCACTACTAAACATATTTTTAAAAAATTCATTTTCTTTCCTGATCACCATCCATAAAGAAACAAGGGACTGAATAAAAATGGTGGTGTAAGGAAAAGCATACCTAACCCCAAGATTCTGGTGTATTAAGGAAGGTAGAGAAAAATCACAAAACAAAAGATAAAAGATATGCATTAATGTAAATACAAAAATTTCTCAAATACTTCAAAAAAATCTATCCCCCAAAACACAGAATGTTTTAAAACAGTGTAAATAACAATATTAAACAATAAACAATATTAAACAATAAACAATATTAAATAAAAACAATATTAAGGCTGATTCTAATTATATTTGCTAGTGATCATTTTGTGAATTTGGAAGTTGCTCTGCTTTAGTAAACAGGGATAAGACTTTATAAATAATTGAAACTGGTAAAGGTACCATAGAAAAGGACACACACACATACCACCTTATTGCTTTTTTACTTACTTTACTTACTTTTTTCCCCCTTTTTCCTTTATGACGCACATCCTTATTGTCTTGGTCCAACTGTCTTACATCAGTGCCACTGGCTTCCTTCAATTGGTCAGAGGAGCATCTAGCTCTTCCAGGGATTTGGAATTCATTTTCTCCTTCTGCCCGGTTCCAGTTTGCCTACGAGGTAGACCAAACCTTAGATCAAATTTGAATTTTCTCTGAATTATGTTATAATTCATTATGTTATAATAATGTACTTAACACTGAATGTGTTTGACAGTCTATAAATACAACGACTTTTGCCGGTCTTTCCTCTATACTTTTATTTTATCTCATCACCAAACCTCAATCCCTTGAGTTCTTTAGTTCACAGCATATGGACTAAACCAAATTTCTAAAGACAGAGCATAAAAGATAAACTTAGAGAAGTTGTTAGTATAAGTTATCACTAAGTCAGATGTAGCTACATTTGAATTTAATTAAATAACAAATGGTAAGTTTTAGGAAACATGTGTAAAACTAAATGCCATCAAAGACAATGAACAAAACTCATGTCCAGTTTAACCACTCTGCATTGTTGGAAGACTGATTTTGTTTTCTGTTTTTGCACTTAATACTGAAGGTATTTTGCTCACATATACTTTGCTGAATGAATACTTAAGAGTAAAGACAAGTCAAAATTATAGCTAGTAACTAACTTCCATTGACAGTTGGGAGTTCTGGGACAACACAGCAAACTAAAAATGATGCACAACCAAAAAGTAAACATATAAAAGTAAGACAGGTCCAATGAATGTAGGGGTGAAGGGAGAAACTGTTCCATGATAGGTCTGAAATAAGAATGTCATTTCATTCACCCAGTAAACAGCAAAGCTAAGACTTGAACTCTTCCCATTTGACCACATTTTTGCCTTTGTCAACTACTCTCCATGAGCACACTGAGGCTACACACATTTCTGTAAGGGTACCACATGTTTTGTTACCATAGTTTAAATGTATAGCATTGGCTATGCTAAAGTGTATGTTGATCACCAGATCATTCTCATAATATGGTCCATACACCTAATGCTAGAGAGGACTCTGATCTTATGCTTAGTGAGTAGTCTGTTCTTGTCACCTGTGATCTTTTCAAGATAGGTGTAGAATGAAAGTGTATTCTACTTCCTAAGAAAACAGGAACGGAAGTTTTAAGACTGAACCCAAAGGCAAATATTTTGTGAAATATTCCCTGATCTCCTTCCTGAACTTTTATTTCATTACCTATCATCATCCTGCACTGTGACTATTTAGCAGACTGTAAGTGCCTGAGGATAGGAGCTATTAAATGGTATCTTTAAAGTCAGTCTCTTGTTCTGTCTTCCCATCCATCATTTAACATATTACCTAGTTAAAGAAGAGATTCTAAATATACATTGACTGAAGTAGTGGATAAGAGTATACTATCATGCTGTCAATCTCCTTCATCTTCAGAATCAAAAATATTTTCCCCCTATTGTCCTACATCAGGATGGGGAAGAATACCTGAGAACACCTCTCCTTAATACTCTGTATTTTAACTCCTTATGACAGAACAACACATGGGGAGAAAAAAAAAATAAAAGCTTAATTAGGCAAGTTCATAGGATGACAGACCATATTTTAAACTGCACTTTATTTTCTCTTTATTTAGTTTTATTTATCACAAGAACAAAGACGATTCCCTCAAGTAAAACCTGCTTCTTCCTCAAAATGACAATCATATCCCTAAAATGTCCAACATAACCTATCTGCTAATGTCAAAATTTCCTTCACTTCACCATTCAGTCCCATTAGGCTATTTTTCCAATTGAACAGGAAGACTGTAGTGATAACAAGAGCTAACATTCACAGAACATTATTACTTGTCAGCACTGATATGAGACAGTTAATGTATTAAACTTTAAACTTTACCACAACCCAATAAAGTAGATATTATTCCCATTTTATGATAGAGAAACTAAAAAAACAGTAAAACAGCTATTAATGCAAGGGTTCAAATTCAAATCCAGGTAAACTGACCCTAAAGCCCAAGATCTTTATCACTATTTATGGCCAATTTCTAACTAGTATTTGTGAACATACGAGCAAATTATATATTCTCATTTTTCTAATTTTGATCATATGACATCCTATTACAATTTCTTTAAAAGTGAGTGCTTACATTAAAGTAGATTTCATTCTAACGATGATCACACAAGTTACCTGAAGCCGAAGGTCAGACATCTGTCTTAATAAATCCTCAAAAAGTTCTCTATCATCCTCTGGTAATTCAGAAGACAAGACAACCCCCACAAAGCATCCTGACGCTTGTAACATGGTATCAGGAAACATGTAGGCTCCCACGGTACATTTAAGAACTGGAGATCTATCAGGAACTAGAGGATACAACCAGTCACAAACCTGAAAGGATTAATTAGAAAAAAAAAATCAATGAATAAAACTAGGTTTTCACTGGTTTGAGAACTGTTATACCATAGAACATTTCAAAATTCTAAATGCATTTTACAAAGCTTTACAGAATCATTAGCATCAACAAATCCCCACTAAAAATTAGCCATTTGCTGGTCTGATCTTTGTGTAGATCACTCACAAGAACTGTCCTAAAAATGTTATTGCTCTACTATAGTCTTCAAATTAGTGGCCTTAAATAGCCCACAGATAACCAATAATGAGTTTAGTTTAAAATAAATAACAAAGTAAATTAAGACTTTCTTTATAATTCAAATTAGACATGCTTTTGTGGAAATAAAATCAAACCATTTTCAAGTACATGTATTTACTGATTAAATGTTTGCAATTCCATGAAGTTAGATATTGTCATTTTATGTACAAGAAAATTGAGGCACAGAGAGTTTAATTAAGTTGCTCTGAGTCTGTGAAAAAAGTGGAGACAATATTTAGACACAAGCAATCTGGCACCAGAGAAGCCAAACAATTCCTTTAATTAGAACCCAGCATTCACAGGGGCATCTGGGTGGCTCAGTTGGCTAAACATTTGACTTATTCTGGCTCAGGTCCCAATCTCAGGGTCATGAGATAACACGGAGTCTGCTTTGAGATTCTCTCTCTCCTCTCCCTCTGCCCCTCACCCCACAGTATGCTCTCTTAATAACAAAATCTAAAACAAAAAAAACAAAAAAAGAAACCCAGCATTCACAATGCTGCTTAATTTTTTTTTTTTTACTAAGTCTGAGAACCTGACGTGACATAGCTAGAATAGAACATTAAGTTCTATCAAAATATTGTTAAATGAGTCAAAAAGGATGAAAGATTTCATATAACAAAAATGGAAAATTCTGGTACACTGCCATCATCTCTGACCAACAAAATATAAACCTAAAAGGATCAGAGTATCCAAGTCTGATTCTTTCTTGGAAAATCCTTAATAAACCTTTTTAAATTCTTCTTTTATAGATTCTCTTTTTCAGTCACCTCAAACGTCACTCTTCATCTTTTACAAGTCAAGCTTTAGAGAAGTCATAATAAAACTGATTACTGTGTCTTCCAAAGTATGATGTATTGCCGTAAGTGGTATACGAAATGACTTTAAGTAATATACCAGATTATTTAAATTTGAATAGTAATGTATTTCAATATATTAAGAAAAAATACATCTATCCCTCAACTTCCCAGCTGTTATTTTGGTTGGGATGATAAAATTAACAAATGAGACATTTATTTATTTATCTATGTATCTCTTTATCTATTTATTTAAGAGAAGGGAGGTAGAGCAGAGGAAGAGGGACAATCTTAACCATGAGACCATGATCTGAGCGGAAGTCAAGAATTGGACACTTAACTGACTGAGCCACCCAGGAACACCAACAAATGAGACATTTAAATTGAAATATTAAGAAAGTAGTAATAGCAGAGATATGAAACTGACAAAAAAAAGTTGCAAAGGTTGTACTTAAAAGAACTAAAATTTGATAAAGTTTCCTTTATTGTTATGATTTCTCTACATTCTGGACACCTTGATTTAACTGGGGTATCCAAATCTTCCGAACCAAAACTTTATAGACCGTTCTCATGGTAGATCATTACAGGTTGGAGGGCTTATCCACCACAGGCTGATTTCTCCCAGATTCACTTTCAGAGAACAACCTTATGTTTAAGTTCTAATGAAATTACTACAAATTTAATAGGTTTAAAAAGTATATTAAACTAAAACCTAAAGAAATATGGTTTTTAGAAACCCTGGAATTCGCGGGTGCCTGGGTGGTTCAGTGGTTTAAGCCACTGCATTCGGCTCAGGTCATGATCTCAGGATCCTGGGATCGAGTCCCACATTGGGCTCTCTGCTCAGCAGGGAGCCTGCTTCCCTCCCTTTCTCTGCCTGCCTCTCTATCTACTTGTGATCTCTCTCTGTCAAATAAATAAATAAAATCTTCAAAAAAAAAAAAAAAAAAAAAAAGAAACCCTGGAATTCTATGCCTGCCTACTTAAGACCAAATTAATTTCTAATTTCACAAACAGACCTACAGTGGTTTCTGCAGTATAAGAAGTTATATTTTAAAAAATTATATTTAACTTCTAATACTCAGTTGATTTAGTGAACACATGTTAACTGCCTTTAGGTCACTGTTAGAAATATCTAAATACATGGAAATAAGAGCCTTTTCAAGAGACTCAAATTAAACTTTGGGTGCAATTTATTTATTATTTACAACCCAAAATAGGAGATACTAGAAAGATTAAAAGCACTTTATTTAAAGCACTTAAACAGGACAAATTTTTACTATAGAACAAATCATTTTAATGGTTGAGCTCATGTAACCAAGTAGAGTGTTTCTGATACTCATTTTCCATCATCTCCAGTAGCCTGGGCCCCAAAGGTTTTTTATTTTTTATTGTACTTTATTTTATGTATGTATGTACGTATGTATTATGAATGTGTGTAATTGGGGGGGAGAGGGAGGAGAGAGAGAATTTTTTTTTTTTAAAGATTTTATTTATTCAGTTGAGAGAGAGAGAAGCACAAGCAGGAGGGGAAGGGTAGAGAGAGAGGGAGAAGCAGACTCCCTGCAGAGCAGGGAGCCAGACATGGGGCTCAATCCCAGGACCCTGAGATCATGACCCGAGCTAAAGGCAGACTGAGCTATCCAGGTATGCCAGGAGAGAAGACAATCTTAAGCAGGCTCCATGCCCAATGTGGAGCTCTTCTCCATAACACAACCCTGAGATCATGACCTGCTCTGAAATCAAGAGTCTAACACTTAACTGACTGAGCCATCCAGGCACTCGCTCACCTCCCCAACTAAAGGTTTTAAATTCCAGTATTACGACACAGCTCTACTACCAGGTCAGCAGAAAGTATTACAGCTTTAATCAGCCTCCTCACAATCCCAATCAATAATGTCTACCCTTTCTACCTCAAAGATTCTTTCCTAAAATAACCTACAGAGATATAAAATATTCTTCCTATCCAATAATGAAGTCTTTTTTTTTTCACCAACGCCCCCAATAACTCCTTCAAACACACCTAGTAAGTCTCCAATTATCTTTAAACAACTTTCAAGTTGATTCCATGTAAAAGCTGCATTAAGAACTGAAAGTGGAGTATACCAAAAAAGACAAAATCAATCTAGGTTACTACTGCTGTAACTAAACCAACTGCATCATCTGGACTGTGAACAAAAAGACTTGCTTTGCTCAAACAATCCTCTTCTTTACATGCATGCAAAATTCTTTGTTATACCCAGTGTAAAGGAGTCCTCATTTTTAGAACCCAACTCTCTGTACTGATGTCCAATTTTTTAAAAACAGATTGTTATTCCAACATCACCTTCAAAATACTGCCTTTAGAATATTTCATTAATTGCACAGCAGTGCCCTAACAACACTAGCTGTTATTCAGCAACAGTTTTTACTCTTCAACCAAGGGCATGCCAATAAATTTATCTGCTTGGAATGTTAGAAATGCATCTTAAATTATCATCACAATCTCTACTTCTATACCAAAGTTTCTTAACCTCTGCATGATTAACATTTTGGGTTAATTTTGACTGATGAAAATGATCCTGTTTTGAGGTTTAGCAGTCCCCCCTGGCCTCTATCTACTATATACCAGTAGCAGTAGTACAACCCACCTCCCAGCTGTGACAACCAAAAATGTCTCCAGACATTGTCAAAATGTCCTTGGGTCGGAGGGTGGGTGGGTGGGGGGATCATTCCTGGTTGAGGACCACTGTTCTACATACCGGGCTGGGTCTAGCCCAGATCAACCCCTCAGGTGGGGCTTGACAACATTTGTGGCAGTTTACATTAACACATCCACATGAGTTACATAAATCACTTTTTTTGAAATTGAAGTTGTTAGGTTTCTTCTTCAGTAAAGAATTAAAATTTTAAGGATGAATGCTCCGATGCCCCTTAGGTCTTGTCATCACAATTTTAATACTAAAACACAATTCTGAAAAAACAATAACACAATTTTGTATCTTTAAAAAAAGAAACTATTAAACACATAGACACTTAAGGCTCATAAATTTCACAGAATATATTAATAAAGAACTAGAATGATCTTTTTGCACTTATTGTCATGAACACATAATAAATACTGGCAAACAATAATAATGTATATATACATATTTCAAATTATGTTTACATTTTTCTTTGGCTTACCTGAAGAAACCCAGGAGGACGGTTTAGAACAGTATCAAGAGAATTATCCAAGAACCTCACAATTCGAAGGTACCCTGGATATGAAGGTGCACTAACTTCCCCTGCAGGATTTACAAAAAAAATCTGTACTCCATTTGGTATCAAAATCAACTCATCTGCATCTAGCCCTAAGGTCTCAAGAGGAGGTGGCTGAGAATGATTCCTATAAAAGTCTTCTCCAACTGATGAAAATTCCCCAGATTCTGTTCCATAGGATACAGTGTAGTGACCCTCAGCAGCCTGAGGAGTATAAGCAGGAGGTGCTTCTGCTGGATGACTTTGAGATGGTAAGGATAAAGAACTAGGTGCAGGAACCAACTCTGTACTTGCTGTTGAAGTGTTTCCATTTGCTTCAGTGTGCTGAGGAGAACTAAAGGACTGAGGCTCTGGTGACTTTTCAGATATGTCTTTAGGTGGAAATTCTGGATATAACTTGGGCACCTCCTGAAGATCATTCCGTAGAGAAGTGGCAAGACCCTTCTCCAGAATTTCCAACCTGGTACGTACATTCTGCAGTGTTTCTTTCATTTTCTGTTGCATCTGTCTAGCAGATTCCCACCCAGCACCTATGTGTTCAGGCTCTGTCGATGATACGCTGATTCCTCTGAGCAGGTGTCCTATTCCTTGCTTGTAGTAGTTCTTTGCTTCTTCCTTCTGACCTAATTCGTCTGTATTCAGTCCCTTATTAACAAATAAAAAGGCCTTCTTGTATGCTTCCTTGATGATCTTAATTTCAGTAGGTTCTCCATTTTGTGGCTCTTGCTCCATTTCTGTGAAAGAGAAAATATTATTTTAATTATCTAATTTAACTATCTGTTTACTGAATTATCATCAATTTCTCCTACCTAAACATATTTCAAGAAGAGAGGAATTCCTAAATTCCTAAATTCCCTTGTTCCTAAATCCTTTAATTAAAAATAGGAGAGAATAAGTTAGAATATATCTACTGAATAATTTTCTTGTTACAGTTTCATGTAATAAATAAATGTTTCCTACCATGTACCTAATGTTGGAACCAAAGAGCCTCATTTTAAAATTCATTATAATATAAATCCAGATTATATCCAGCTAATTAAGAATGAGGTTGAGGGGCTCCTGGGTGGTTCTCTCAGTTAATCATCCGACTCTTGATTTCAGTTCAGGTCATGATCTCAGAGTCGTGAGATTGAGCCCTGAGTCAGGCTCTGTGCTGAGCAAGGAGTCTGCTTTGGATTCTCTCTTCTTCTGCTGCTCCTGCTCATGCCCACACTCTCTCTCAAATAAATAAATAAATAAATAAATAAATAAATAAATCCTTTTTAAAAAAAAATGAGGGGGCACCTGGGTGGTTCAGTGGGTTAAAGCCTCTGCCTTTGGTTTGGGTCATGATCCCAGGGTGCTGGGATGGAGCCCCACATCTGGCTATCTGCTCAGCGGGGAGCCTGCTCCCCACACCCCGCCTGCCTCTCTGCCTACTTGTGATCTCTGTCATATAAATAAATAAAATCTTTAAAAAAAGAAATGAGGTTGAATTACACACTGGAGAGGATAGAAATGAGAAAATATTATTTGGATGAAAGTTTAAAGTTACCTACTTCCACTTAAAGGTTCCAGGTTACTCACAGGCAGTTAGTCCTGTTCTCTCCCAAAACTCCATTAAAATAATTCTAACAGATTAAAATGCATAACTTCTCATTCTTGTTAATGAGAAAAAAAATGAACAGGTACTTCACAAAAGAGGATCTTTAAATAGCACGTGAAAAGATGTTCAACACCTGATCTTGTGTATACCTACATATCAAAGCTTATGTCGCATAGTATGCTGAAAGATTTCCTGAAATAATGTGTCACTGGAGAAAATGAAAAGGAAAGTGTGGGGGGGTGGGGGAGTGGTGATGATGGTGTAATTCCATGGGTCAGTTGCTAAACAGCATTTCTTGCTAGCATCTTCATCTTGGGAGAGAAAAAAAAAGTTTAGCAGGGGAAAAAAACCTGGAAATCTATCAGGGGAAATGTAGTGGGGAATTTCAGCACAGAAAGTAAAAGTTTGTACTAAAATACTGCATTTTTAATTTGGGATTTATTCCAGGATTTGATATATTCTCAGAAGTCTCTGAGAAAATGTATTTCACAAGGGTAAGAACTGCAGAATAGAATTTAAAATAATAAAAAAAGATTTTTAAAAAGAATAGCTGTGATATCCCTAATCACAGTTAAGAGCTTATCAAATGGCTTGAAAAGACAAACACCGTTATTACATGATTCCACATACTTTTTTATTTTTAAAATTTCTTTTAAAGATTCAAGGGCGCCTGAGTCTCTCAGTTAAGGGTCTGCCTTCAGCTCAGGTCATGATCATGGGGTCCTGGGATCCAGTTGCCTCAGGCTCTCTGCTTAGCAGGGAGCTTGCTTCTCCCCCTGCCTCTCTCCCAACTTGTGCTCTTTCTCAAATAACCGAAGTCTTTAAAAAAGAAGAAAAAAATAAAGATTTATTTATTTAAGGTGAGGAGGGGCACAGGAGAGGACAGGGAGTCTTAAGCCAACTCCGGTGGTGAGTGTGGAGCAGGAGGCGGGGTACTTTCTCACACCTGAGCGGAAACCACCCTGAGATCACCACCTGAGCCGAAACCAAGAGTCAGCAGGTTAAAGGACTGTACTACCCAGGCGCCCCTCACATACTTTCATTTTTAAAGTTGAGAACAGAAAGTTTTGAAATGTCAATCTGTAGTATTAAATAAAACAGTACCCAAACCAGTATAATCATGTTAAATCCCAACCCAAACCCTGGTTCCAGATACAAATAGCGCATTTATTTTTTGAAACGTTCTAATAAAAGAAGTAAAACGTGTTTGTTTCAGACATAGCTATGTGTGGGTGTGCATATGCATAAGCTAAAAAAAAAAAATCCCCGGAGAAAAGGCAAAATTCTGAATCAAACACCTGACAACTTAGTTCAACCCCACAAACCCTAAAAGCAGTAACAAGCTAAGGGGGAAACTTCACAAATAGCCTCTAATACAGAAGATGCTCTAATGCCTGCCTACCTGGCCCTTTACAAGAAAAACGAAGACGCAACTTTTTCAAATACCTGTATGCAACTCACTCCAATAGCTTCCCATCCATTCTTGTCAGAGGAACTACACAAATGATGTTTCAGAAAGCCCCACAGGTGAGAAAGTACCAACATAAAACCCTCCTGTTTCAAACAGGTTTCCTATAAAATGTCTCCAAATGGGATCCGTTATTGCAAAGGAAAGCAATTGAAAAAGAGCTCCGTTTGTAACTGGGGACATTCTTACATTCCCTTTTTCTTGGTTTTGCTTTTGGACATTTCAAAGAAAACGTGTTGAATTCTTAAATATTTACCAGGATTTCAGAAGCTGCAAGAATTTGAACGCAAATCCATTAAGTTACAGTGCAATAAAGTAAATTTCGAGGATCCTTAAGTGACAGAGTAAAACAATTCATTAGTGGGTGGAAAAATGAGCCAACTCTACTGTAACGCAATAATGCCGTGTCACGAAACAGTGCACATTTCAAGAGAAACTTTTTCCAGACACAGAAATTAGGTCGGAGAGGGCCTCTGCGATGCTCCATCCCTAAGGAACATGAACAAATGCATTCGAAAGAGCAAAACCCGAACGCTATCCATGCCCAAAACAATTGCTATTGGTTGCTGACGTTCTGTAAAGACCACCGAACTTTCACGAAGCTCTAAGGGCGCAAAACCACAGCCATTTTCGAAGCCAAGTAAACAGCGCGTATGAGGCAGCAAGAATGGTGGACAGAGATGTTCCAAGTGCACGATCAAAGGGATACGAGTGGGAGGCAGCGTTAGCCAGTAAACAGGAGTGAAAGGCGTAGGGAGCGCGGGGCTCAAAGGTCCCATAAATATACGATGGGAGCTAAGAGAACTTCGCAAACTATCCTCTCGAAATTGTTTCCTTCAGCTAAAGTTCCAGGTCTGATACTTGGATGAGGGCTCCGGGCCTTCTCTACCCTGCCCCTCCCCCCCGCCCGGTCCGGCCGCGGGGAACCGGGGCGCTCACGCGACCCCGCCCGTCTCGGGGTGGGGGGCCCGCACCAAGGGCGAATCCTTCCCCGCCAGCCGCTACCCCACCTGCGCCTTCCAGACCTCGGGCGCTTCGGCGCCACCTGAAGAGTTCCCCGCCCGGCTGCCGCAGCCCAGCGACCAGCTCCCTCAGACGCCGCGCCGCTACGAAGCGCTGGGCCGGGACGGGTCCCGTGGTTCTTAGCGCCTCACACGCGCGCGCGACCCAACGCCGGGACTCACAAAGCATAACAAGTCGCGCGCTCCAGAGCGCGCCACGTCACGCGGCCGCCCCGCCCGTCAGCCCTCGCTCCCGCGGCAGGAACCCACAGGTCGGCTTTCGCGTGACGCCCACTGGGGCTGACTACCCACGGCCCGCCCCGCCCAAGTCATTCCCACGCTGACCTTCAAAATGGTGTGTAGGAAGACGTCACTCAGCTTCGAATCGCAGAGTCTAGGTGAAACTCTGCCAAGAAAAAAGGACGAGGGCAGAAGGCCCTCAGAGAATCACGTGAACCAGGCGCTCAGCGCGGACCCCCAGTCCAGGTCTTCGCGGCCACGTCGTCAGCCTCCGCGCTTGCGCAATATCTTTCTCCGCAGTGGAATCAAGGCCGCTGGAGGGGCTAGGGAAGCGTGGTGGGCAGTGAGAGTCGTCACGGCTAGAGGGAGCCCTGGACACAGTGCACGTGGGAGAACAAAGGCTGATTCTCTCAACTCTTCTGGAACCTAATCTTTGTTATTAATGTATTCTAAGACAGTTAACCTCCAAAGGTAAAAGTCTAGAAGTGTGTGTGCGCGCGCACTAGAAGTCTATGTAACAGTAGGTCAATGTTAAATTCCTGACTCCTCAGAATAAATAGCAACTGTACGAATACCATTTATGAATGTGAGAGGCTAAAAAGGGAAAAAATCAAAGTGAACATACCTTACCTTTTCCCAAAACGTCTTTAAAATTACTAAAATGCTATAAATGACACTAATTAATGTCAAAATTAATTAATGATGAACACTGTTGTATGAACACTGGGCAAGGCTTTTAAGGTAGGGGCCATTTGGGAATTTCCCCAAATTGAAGAAAGGTAACAGTCATCCCAGAGAGAAAAACCTGTTAGAAAGATATACGTTAGTACAATGGTTTAAGTGATTTTGCTCTTCTACTCCCTAAAAGAATTATGGAAAATGTGACTGTGCACCTTTCCCCTCATTTTTAGATTGACCATACATAAAAATTTTCATCTGATGTAAATAGTTGCAAAAGATGCAAATTGTTTTATGGTAAATTGACATTTTAAAATAAAATTGTTATATAACCCTTCTAAATTGTAGACAGTAGTACCTAAATACCAGGCAACTTGATATCCTTCATCGATTTTTAAAACTACATGAACAAAATTGTCTTTAATATGAAATTTTACATCATTCCTTTTATTCCTGAACCTGTATTTCCATAGTTCTTCATGAAATTTTATCCCAATACAGTATTTCTTTATTTGGGAAAGTCTTTTCTTGATCACCTATCATACTTCTCTGCATCATTAGTACATAAACTTAAGTCTAATTTTAAAATATTGAAATAGCCATAAAAGTTAAAGTGTTTAAAAACGTGAAATTTCTAAATACAAAGTCATATATAGAAAACCCTAAAATTTACTACAAAGCTACTAACTACATCAAAGTTTCAGGATAAAAGATCAACATACAAAAATCAATAGTATTTCTAAACACTAGCAATGAACGTTCCAAAAATGAAATTAAGAATGTCACTGAGAATACTATCAAGAACAAAATACTTGGGAATAAATTTAACAAAATAAGTGCAAGACTTGTACACCCAAAACTACAAAACTTTGCTGAGAGGGTTTATTGAAGACCTGAATGAATGGAAAGACATTCCACATTTGCAGCAGATTTAATATTGTTATAATGGCAATATTCCCTAAATTGATCTACAGATGGAACATAATCCCTAAGAAAATCCCAGACAACTATTTTGAAGAAATTGGCAAGCTAATCCTAAACTCACATGGAAATGCAAGGGAGTCAGAATAGCCAAAACAATCTTGAAAAAAAAAAAAAAGGTGAAAGGACTGACATTTCCTTTGTTTTGTTTGCCTTTTTCAAGTTTTTATTTGAATTTCCATTACTTAAGAGTCTCATATTAGTTTTAAGTGTAGAATTTAGTGATTGATCACTTATATACAACACCCAGGGCTCATCACTACAAGTGCCCTCTGTTAACCATTATCCATTTAACCCATCCCCCGCCTACCTCTCTGCTCCAGGAACCCTTGGTTTGTTCCCTATAGTTGAGTCTGTTTCCTGGTTTGCCTCTTTTTTTCATAGGTTCATCTGTTTTGTTTCTTAAATTCCACATATGAGTGATATATAGTATTTGTCTTTGTCTGCCTGATTTATTTTGCTTAGCATAATGCTCTCTGGTTCTATCCACGTCATTCCAAATGGCACCATTTCATTCTTTCTGATGGCTGTGTAATATTCATATACATTTGGGTTCTTTCCATAATTTAGCTATTGTTGATAATACTGCCATAAACATCAGGGTACATCTCTCCCTTCGAATCAGTACTTTTTAATCTTTTGGGTAAATACCTAATAGTGCAATTGCTGGATGGTTGAGTAGTTCTATTTTCAACTTTTTGGGGAACCTCCATACTGTTCTCCGGAGTGGCTGCACCCATTTGCATATCTACCAACAGTCCAACAGGGTTCCTCTTTTTCTGCATCCTTGCCAATATCTGTTGTTTCCTGAGCTGTTAATTTTAGCCATTCTGACTGATGTGAGGTGATATCTCATTGTGGTTTTAATTTGTATTTCCCTGATGATGAGTGATGTTGAGCATATTTTCATTTGTCTGTTAGCTATCTATATGTCTTCTTTGGAAAAATGTCTATGTCATCTGCCCATTTTTTATCTGGATTATTTGTTTTTTTTTGGGTGTTCAGTTTTATAAGTTCTTTATATATTTTGGATACTAACCCTTTATCAGATATGTTACTTGCAAATATCTTCTCCCATTCTCTAGGTTACCTTTTAGTTCTGTTGCTTGTTTCCTTCACTGTGCAGAAGCTTTTTATTTTGAGGAAGTCCCTATAGTTTATTTTTGCTTTTGTTTCCTTGGTCTTGGAAGACATATCTAGTAAGAATTTGCTATGGCCAGGGTAAAAGAGGTTATTGGCTGTGTTCTTCTCTAGGATTTAGATGGTTTCCTATCTCACATTCAGGTCTTTCATTCATTTTGAATTTATTTTTATATATGGTGTGTAAGAAAGTAGTTCACTTTCATTCTTTTGCATATTGTTGTCCAGTTTTCCAAGTGGCGTCCAACACCATTTGTTGAAGACACTCTTTCCTGTTGGATATTCTTTCCTGCTTTGTTGAAGATTACTTGACCATATAATTGTGGGTCCATTTCTGGATTTTGCATTTTGTTGCATTGATCTATGTGTCTGTTTTTGTGCCACTACCATACTATCTTAATCATGATAGCTTTTTATATAACTCAAAGTCCAGAATTGTGATGCTTCCAGCTTTGCTTTTCTTTTTCAAGTTTGCTTTGGCTATTCTGGGTCTTTTGTGGTTCCATACAAATTTTAGGATTGTTTGTTCTAGCTCTGTGAAAAATGCTGGTAGTATTTTGATAAGGATTACATGAAATGTGTATTGTTTTGGGTAGTATAGACATTTTTACAATATTTGTTCTTCCAGCCCATAAGCATGGAATGTTTTTCCATTTCTTTTGTCATCTTCAATTACTTTTATCAGCATTCTGTGGTTTCAGAGTACAGATCTTTTACATTTTTGGTTAGGTTTATTCCTAAGTATCTTACTGTTTCTGGTGCTTTTGTAAATGGGACTGATTCCTTTATTTCTCTTTCTGCTGCTTCATTATTGCTGTATAGAAATGCAATGGATTTCTGTACATTGATTTCTGTATCCTGCGACCTTACTGAATACGTGTGTCAGTTCTAACAATTGTTTGGTGGAGTATTTGAGTTTTCTATATAGAGTACCATGTCATCTGCAAGTAGTGAAAGTTTTACTATTTCCTTGCCAGCCTGGATGCCTTTTATTTCTTTTTGTTGTCTGATTGCCAAGTCTAGGACTTCCAGTACTATCTTAAATAACAGTGGTGAGAGTGCACATCATGGCTTGTTCCTGACTGTAGAGGAAAAGCTCAGTGTTTCCTCATTGAAGATTATATTATCTGTGGATTTTTCGTGTATGGCCTTTAGGATGTTGAAGTATGTTCCCTCTTTCCCTACTTTGTTGAGGGTTTTTGTCATGAATTGATATTGTACTTTGTCAGATGCTTTTTCTACATCTATTGAAAGGATCATATGGCTCTTCTCTGTTCTTTTATTAATGTGGTGTATCACATTGATGGATTTGTGAATATTGAACCACACTTGCAGCCCAGGAATAAATCCCACTTGATTGAAGTGAATGATTCTTTTAATGTACTGTCGGATTTGATTTGCTAGTATTTTGTTGAGAATTTTTGCATCTATGTTCATCAGGGATATTGACCTGTAGTTCTCTTTTTTTAGTGGAGTTTTTATCTGTTTTTGGAATCAGGATAATGCTGGCTTCACAGAACAAGTTTGGAAGTTTTCTTTCTATTTCTGTTTCTTGGAACAGAAGGTATTAACTCTTCTTTAACTGTTTGGTAGAATTCCCCTGTGAAACCATCTGGACTGGACTTTTATTTGTTGGGGGATTTTTGATTACTCATTCAGTTTCTTTGCTGGCTATTAGTCTGTTCTAGTTTTCTATTAAGATCTTGGTAGTTATGTATATTATGTATTTCTAGGAATTTGTCCATTTCTTTTAGATTATCTGATTTGTTGGCATATAATTTTTCATAATTTTCTCTTTGTACTTTTATGGTGTTATTTCTCCCCTCTCACTTGTGATTTTATTTATTTGGGTCCTTTTTTTTTTCTTTTTGATAAGTCTGGCTAGGAGATTATCAATTTCATTAATTTTTCCAAAGAACCATCTCCTACTTTCATTGATCTGTTCTGTTTATGTTTTCTGCTTTCTTTCTTTCTTTTTTTTTTTTTTAGTTTGTATATCATTTATTTCTGCTCTAATCTGTATTAATTCCTTTCTTCTTCTGGCTTTAGGCTTTGTTTGTTGTTCTTTTTCTAGCTCCTTTAAGTTTAATGTTAGGTTGTTTATTTGAGATTTTTCTCGCTTCTTGAGGTAGGCCTGTATTGCAATATATTTCCCTCTTAACATCACTTTTGATGCATCCCAAAGGTTTTGGATGATTGTGTTTTCATTTTCATTTGTTTTCATGTATTTTTAAAATTTCTTCTTTAATTTCCTAATTGACCCATTTATTCTTTAGTTGCATGTTGTTTAGCCTCAATGTATTTGTCATCTTTCAAAATTTTTTCTTATGGTTGATTTCAAGTTGCATAACATCATGGCCAGAAAATATGCATGGTATGATTTCAGTTTTTTGGTACTTGTTGAGCACTGATTTGTGACCTAGTATGTGATCTATTTTGGAGAATGTCCCACGTGCACTTGAAAAGAATGTGTATTCTGCT